TCTGTATAGCATCACAGGTAGTGAATATTTTAATTGAAATGTAGTATTCCTTTTTAACAAGTATGGCATATTAAATAAAGTAAAAAATCTATAATTTGTCTTTTATAAAACATTTTATTTTTCTAATTAATAATAATAAATATAAATCATCTAATTTGCAAAGGAAATTAAAAAGAAAGAATTATTATACTAGATTTCACACAAGATCCTATAAATCAATTTAGGAAATAGTTATATATATTTCCTCACCAGATGTCATGGTTTAACCCCAACCAGCAACTAAGTACCACACAGATACTCACTCACTACCCCACCGCCCACCCCATGGGACTGGGAAGAGAATCAGAATAAGGTAAAAACCATGGGTCGAGATAACAGTTTAACAATTGAAATAAAGTAAAATAAAATTATAATAATAAGAAGAAGAATAGCAAAAATAATACTTATGATAATAACAACAGTAATGCTAACTGTAAGTAAAAGGGAGAAAACAGGAAAAGAGAGAAATAAAACCCAAGAGAAACAACTGATGCAAAATACAATTGTCCACCACCCACTAACCAATGCCCAGCCCATTCCCCCAGCGGTGATTGGTGCCTCCTGGCCAACTCCCCTCATATTTTTTCTGAGAAAAAAATATCTTGTAGTATCTGAGAATGATTCTGGAAGATGTTGATCTAAACATAAGAAAGTACAATATCTTGTGCCTTCTCAAGCTTTTACATTTTCAGAGAGGAGTCCTAAAGCATTCTCCTGTGCTCATAATCATCTTTGGACAGCACTCCCTGAAAACATCTGTATAACCAGTTCCTTTGCTTAAAACTCTTCAAAGGCTCTGTAGATATACAGAGACACAAGGTGGCTGTTGTGCAGGCTTGAAATATATAATTTCTTCTCTATAGTTGTTCTATTTTTGTTTTTGCGTAATAACTTCTTTGAGAAAAAAAATGACCTTTTTCAGGTTGTGTCAGACTGATGATCCCTGTAGGATTCAAAAGCTTTCTGGTAATAAATAATAACAGCAACAATGATAATAAGCATGATACTTTCTAAAATATTTGAATCTTGCCCTTATTTTGTCACCTAAAAGTCATATGGTAATGTGAATTTTGAAAATTCACGATATACATTTCCCATTATCAACGGTGAGATGATGATTCTGTCATGGTAGAAACATTTTTGTATGAGTTATCTTTCACACTTTTTCTAGTTAATGTTTTCAATATTAAAAGTTATTCTTAGGTCTACTTATTAGTGACTCTAATAATACAACTCCACCTACTTAATCTGGTATTCCTAGAAAATAGGTGTATGCCAATTCAATGTGATCTATTAATTTATTTGGACACTTGGTTATCCTGTGAGTATTGTATTTAATTCATCCAATGTAAAAGTTCCCTATGCAATCACTCATGATGTCTTTTCAATACCTACCTTTTGTCCTTCCATAACTTGTGTTTGTTGACTATTAAACAGAACATGTGTATTTTCCATTGTTTAGAGTGTACAGTCAAACCATATTTTTGAGTTAGGTTATAATGGGATTTTGAGAAACATTTTCTAATGGAATTCTTTTCCCTGTAAATCTTACCTTTTTTAAACAGCTACAATTCCTGTTCAAGGTCTGTTTCCTAGTTCTGGCTTTCAAATACAAGGAGAGAAAGGCTACCCTCTCTTAGTGACAATGCAATAAATAAGTTTGTCCTTGGCATGACAGAAGAATCTTATCTTGTGTAGAGCTATTTTTACCTTATTGGAAAGAATATTGCCTGTTTTATACTTATCTTTAGGTATCTTCAGGATATGTCTTTAAACATTTTAATTCATATCATATTATGTCCATTTTAAACTCCATAATAAATTTGCATATAAAATAGTTTAAACAGAACTGAACTGGTAGAGGACAATATTCTGGACCAATCTAATTTCTGCTTCAAAAGTAAATTGACTGGTTTAAATCACTGCAGAGACAGCCACACTACCCATCAGCTGCTTTGGATAAGAGATCTGCATGGTTTTCCCAAGTTTATAACTTCTCTCAAAGATTGAGCTAATTATACTTGCAGTGTAAATAGGATAACCAGAAAGGATTGCACCAAATCCATTGGATTTAATGTCTGGCATCTTCACTAGCTCTGGAATTTCTCTACTGTTTCCTTTTCACAGTGAAGACCACTCTTGTGTCACAGGTTGTACTCCAGTGATGCTATATAAGATTTTTGCATTCAATATTTTTTTTCAGCAGTAAAGACAATCGTGCTACTCCTGCCACACAATCCATCTAAATGTCCTTTGTATGTTTTGCATATATATTGTTAATAATGAGTTACATTTAACATGGTGACTGACACTTAGCTACATATTTTCAAAGTGTTTCTCATGTTAAAGAGTATAGAAGTTATGTAGCTAAACCCCAGGAACTGCTTTGAAAATGAGAGTAGGTGTTATCATGTTTACCACTAGCATTGAGATAAGAGGAAATTAATCTTTCAGGGCAGAAGATGAACACCTAGGGAGCACAGGAAGGCATTTTCTTATCAATCACCTATATGCATCATAAGGTGATAAAGGACAGATTCATTCTGTGGGGGGCTATCTGACATGTTACATGTGTTACAGGTTTATACTGCAACAATAATACTGAACCAATGACCAGCACTGCTGTGTGAGAGATTACAGTTCCCACCTCTAAAGCGGGATTCTGTCCATCCTTTCTTTTATTATCTACCTCTTTAGAGTTTTAAAGTAAAATGATAGGGTTTTGTATAAATTTTTAGTAGCTGTCTTTCTTTTTTTTCAATGGGGATAGATATAAAATGGCTAGGATTTACAAGAAATTAATTAAATTTTCCTTTAATTTGATTTTTCCATAAGTCCATTTGGACTTATTATTTTAATGTGGAGGAACTGCAAGCATGATCCTTCACCTTTCCTTCCTTTTAAGCTTTCCTACATTTATTTACTTTGCAGCTAAATCCCTTCTTTTGTACCTGTTAATCTTTATTCTACTGTATTCTGACAAGAAATCCAATTCAGAACTGACAGATAGCCAGAAAGAGCTGAAATTTAAAGCACTTTGTTACTATCCTCCTTTAGACTGAAACTAATTGATTTGAACAAATAGAAACTTGAGTCACATGTAGTGCTTTTATATTTAATTTTCATTCGGTGAAAAAAAAAGTACATTTGTCCATCACTGTGCATTTTCAAAGCAGGAAATGGAAAAGAAAAATATCTTGGTGTTGCTATAGCTAATTGAAAAATAACACTGAATCACCTGAGGACTTGATTAAGAAAGGTTTTCGTTGCAAGGCGTTCTCCTATCCAAACCAATTATATGTATGCAGGGATACACTAGCCCACTATTTTCTAAACATAAAATAATAATAATTACTTTTCTGCAGAATATACTATCAAGTAACATGCATTAGAAGACATTTTTAAGTGATATTACACCAGCATGTGTAACTCATGGTGTGCTTATTTAAAAATGTAATAATTTTTTAAAATTTTAATTATCTATTTATTAGCAACATTTTGCAATATATTTTTAATGTGGACCTTTTACTTGTTAAAATTCTACTGGATCTCACCTACCTTTTCTCTATCCAAATATGGTATCTATCATTGAAATCAAAGCAATACATTTAAATTTTAGACTTCTACCTGTGCCCAAGTCATCTGTAAGAAATGTGAAAAAGCATTTGGACAGTGTCTTTCTACTTAAAAATGTACACCTAGTCCCCATTATGAAATTTATTAAAAATCAACTTATATTACTTTTGAAAATCATTGAACTTTGATTTTACTGGGCATGGAGCAAGAGGTGGAGTTTCAGTATCTGACAGAGAACTGCCAACTGAGTGCAGTTAAGACAGTGATAATTCTGCTCCACCTGTTGAAACTCTTTGGTGCTGTCTGGCTCATCCCAGAACTCAGGGCTGTAAGCAGAAATTAAGAGGTATGGCTACAAGTCATTGAATGTCGATGAGATGCTCCCACTGGCCCCATTGTTTCACGCTTCAAATCCTCATTTAGTGCTTGCCAAAGCTTCTGTGTCCTTTTCAAAGATATCTTTGGTATCCTTGGTGCTGGTCTCTTCATCTTGATCCACATCAAATAGAAATGTCTCTAGAAAATCTCTGAGTGAAGAGAGGCTTTAAACACCATCACAGGAACTGAGGAATGAGTGAGGTACCAGTCTGGTGGCAGAATTGAGCTGCCACATAACTTCTGCTACAAATAAGCATACTATAGCATAACTATCCACCCCAAACGTGAATCTGGGTCTAGTGTTCTCTGCAGTAAATGTAATAATAAGATCTTCTGGTTGAGAGGCTTTAAATAAATACAATGAACTGCTTATAGCAGTGCCCTTCAGCCTCATTCAAAACTTTTTGTTCCAAAAGTGAAATATTTCTTATTGCCCTGCTGGACAGAAAGTTTTGGAGGGAAAATATATTTACGCACAACTGGATTGTGCTTATAACACCAGAGAAATCAGAAGGAAAGTATTTAAAAGAGTAAACTTACTCTAGAGCAGATTTGGGTTTAGAACCAATCTGCTGATGATTTTCCCTTCTTGTCATCAAAATGTGCAATGTGCAGCTGATGCCTGCAACATCATCAGTCTGGATTTTAGCCAAGGTATTCTCTCCATTGTATTTCTTTTCTCATTTCTATTGAGGGAAAAAAACAAGCGTGATATGGTAAAAAGAAATAAAATCACTATTAAATGTTTTTGTAAATGCCATATATATATTGTCTGCTGTTTTTCCTTTGATAGTGTATCCAGGTTCACTAAAAAGAGTAATAAGGTGTTGATGAAACATGGAATTTTTTGTAATGGAAATAGATTTATTTTTCAGGCCCTTGTATTATAGATTAAGGTATGAAAAAAGGAACAGTTGTTTTTTCGAGTGGAAATAAAATTTTAGTCACAGTAGCCACAAAATTTAAAATCTTTGGTATGTAACTAAAATGCTCTGTTCTTTTGATAGATCTGGGAAATTTTAGTGGTCGAACAAGAAGTGCTGTCTCTGTACGTGAAGGTCAAGGAGTTGTTCTGATGTGCTCCCCTCCACTTCATTCTCCAGGTATAGTAGGCTGAAGTTTGTATGCAAGCTGGTCCTTAACATTTTGCTCATTATTGGATTACTTCTTTTAGAATTTAGAAGCCTTCAGAAATTGCTCCAATTGCTAGTGTCCTGATACTTTCGCTGAATACAAATTGTCTTTTTTTTTTAAGTAGTACAACCATGATTTTGGTTGCTTCTTTTTGCCTGTATAGCTCTATATTTGCATGTCATATAACACGTGGAGACATGATGTTTGTTTTTCAGTAGATGCGGTACAGCCTATTCTTTTCCTCTCTGGGAAACGAGGTCTGTACTGAGGGCATTTTTCTACCTTGAAATTGGAGGCCTGGAAAAAAGTCACGTAGCAAATGGAACAGCTTCAGAAAATGAAATCTACTCTAAGTTTCTGTTAGAGAAATGTGTTCAGCTTCTATTTATATTGCAATGATTGTTATTACTGTACTACAGTTATCAATGCCATCTCTCTGCTTTTCCCTCTTCTGAGTAGATTCTCTTGTTGTTGTTGCCTCTATAATCTCTTTCTGAGTTTGACACTACGGTCTATGTGATAGAATTGAGCACATGATGTTAAGTCTTGATCATGATAAGTAAACTGAGAGAGAAAGACAGAAAAAGAAAGAGGCGGTTTCAATACAGCTGAATTTGATTTCCCAAAACAAACAGAGAGTATAAGGATAGATGAACATCAACAGTGAGTGAAGTTGTCATGCACCTTTTAAGAGCTTCCACAAAATGTACCTTACATATCATGAAAATATTTAGATTTTTTTTTTCCCTGAAATTATGCTTCTGAACTTTTATTTAGTCAGATTCTAACACAGTGTTCTACTTTTACACAGACATTACCTTTGGTGGTGAAAAACTAGTATCTTTCATTTTCATCAGTGGGCCAGCAAAAGCCCTGCAGTGGAAGATACTGTGCTCACAAACAGCATTCAACTGCTTTAGTTTATATTGTTTAAACATCAGTAGGCTATGCCAGCAGGAAAATGACTACAGAAAAATATTTTTATCCTCTGCTGTCATAATTTTTTCACCATAACTAGGCCAGGTAAGGTTCTGCAGCGTGATGGAGTAATCACTGAAAGCTGAAAAATTACATTGATATGCAGAGTAAACATAAAATCATATGAATGGGAAGGGGACTTGGCCTCCCTTTCTTTTGTTTATTATGTAATACATGTAATGCATTTTTTCAACAAAAAGGCTGTCAATGGGTGGAACAGTCTGCTGAGGGAAGTGGTGAAGTCATCATCCCTGTAGGTATTTAAAACATGTGAAGACATGACTCTTAAGGACATGGTTTACTGATGGACTTGACAGTGCTGGGTTAATGATTGACTCGATGATCTTAGAGGTCTTTTCTAACTTAAATGACTCTATGATTCTATCACATGCAATTTCCTTCTAACTCTTTACTTACGAAGTACGGGGGAGCTGTAGGTCCTTGTGGTACTGCAGTGGGACTGCAGGTGGTATTAGTACCATAACTGGAGTCTCCTGGAAAAGGGGAGAGCTACCTCCATGGGCCTGGTAATGTTTCAGCAATAAATCATTCCACAAAGCTCTGACAATAAGGTACAAGACATTAATGAAAATTGCCCACCACATTAGAGTCCATTTGTAAAATATAATTCTGGACAAAAGGTGAACTTTCAGGGAGAATGTGTAAATTCAGTTCTGAAATTAGTCAGTAAATATGTAATTAATTTCCATGTAAAAAGATCTTTTGCAGAGCAGAGGTATTTCAAGGATTTGTGTGCAGGAACATCTGAAATATATTCTTTTTTTTTTTTTTTTAAGCATTCAGTTTCTGAGTACTCCATTTTAGTTTTTGTGTCTGGTTTACAAAGATGGTATTATGTTCTAAATAGTTCTTAGAAATTTTGACCCTTAAAATCACCTGAAAGACAAACTTTCAAGTGAATACTAAGTTATTGTAGTGAATATTTCTAAGCTAAATATTATTTAAAGCATGTTTACAATGTGTGAACAACTAAAATTAACAAGACCATGAGTTAAGGGAGTGTTTTTCGTGGTAGAGAATTTTTTCTGGATGAACACTGGACACTTTGCTATATTGATTTATTCACATTGATCAGCACCTTTAGAAATAATTTTTACTTACTTATCACAGAAGATAAATCCATGATACAATATCAAGTCTAATAATTCTCTACACCCTTGTAAGTAATTTGTCCTTCAACAGAATCCCATTCCTCAGTCTCTACAATCAATAACTACATATGCACTTGCCTAAGAATTTCAAGATTGAGCCCTTTTAGAAAATGACATTATCATTGTGGGAAAACAAAGATGACTTAGTGAAAGAATACTGTATTAAAAGAGATATGGATTTTAACACGTTTTCAAAAAGAAGATAAAGTAAATAATTCTGATGAAATAGTACCTACACTCCATTCTTACAGAATACAGTTCCTCAAAAGCCAGAAAGCCTTTATAAAGCACCACTGACTGAAAAAATACTACACTAATATCTTTTGACAAGAATTTAATCAGAAAACAATTTTCATATGTATAGCAACTTGATTTTTGTTTATTTATTCTGTGAAATGTTATCAAGAGGTAATGCATTAAACAAACAAACACATGCAAAGCTGTGATATATATAGATTATTCATGTAGACTTTCATTACATTGTTGTCCAAATATTTTACAGGGAAAATAAGAGGGAATGGAGGGTGGTAAGCATACTTGTAATAGATTCTGCATATTTGCAGTGGAGGTTCAGATAACAGAATTATCTCTTGAGTATAATAAATGAGCTTTTTAAGTTATTTTCATCTGTATTGAGAAATAGCTAAACAGCAAAATGAGGCAGTTTTTGGAGAGAGACATTATCCCCTCTTTCAGAATGATGAAGGAAAATATGTTCACTGAAAAGGTTTTAGTGCTGATTCCTTAAGGCAAACGGTCACCAGCAGATTCTCACCTTCTGCTTTTTCTGGACCATTACTCAAAAAAAATGCTACCTCTACCTGTGTTGGGAATCCCATATCATTTCGATGTGTCTACTCCAGAAGCTTTCCCACCAACACTGTCTTTGTTGTAAATCCTTAACTTGTCCCTTGTGAAATATTAAATGTGGACAACTTGATCATTCATAAACATAACACTTTGTCTTTTTTTTTCTTCCTTAAACATAATATTTGATTCTTCCCAATTAGTTTTTTTTCTCCAAGATGGAATTCCTAGACAGTTAACTCTTAGGTGTCCTTGCCAAGTAAGAGGTTCGTTAATTACCAACTGCTTAAATAACAAGCTTTGTTTGATGTTTCAAATTTAAAAGGCCTCCAGTGTTTTCTTTCCATAAACAGGATTATGGTTTTTCATTGTGTTATTCTAAAGGATGTAAATATAGGGTTTTATTCAGTCATTTAATCATCTTAATTACAAGGTTTACCATAGCAAGATTAAAAATGAATGGAAGTCTTCATCCAGATTTACATGTTTCCCTCAGAATTAATACTTTCAGCTGAGCTTTTTAAGGCTTTTATTCAAGGCTTTCAGTATGAGCCTAACAGAGAATGTCAACTCCCATTGTTAGAATGAGGACAGATCTGATGCATGCAGGGGAAGGCAGATGTGTGCTCCATCCTGCCTCAAAGGGATGCTGCCCTCTGGAGGCAACACTGCTACATAATCTTTCCACAGCATGTAACATCTGTACAGATGTTAAACTATAGCATATTTTTTTATCTGTTTCTAAAGGAGAAAACTGATCTTACCCAGTTTGGAAACTGTGCTGTAAACTGCATCTTTTATGTGTCTTTTTTAGTGTTGCAAAACCTGTACTTTTTATGAGAAATGTTTCACCAAAGATGATTAATGCCAGTGCCATGAGGATTACAGTCCTTCCCATGCATGTCTGGGAAGACATCCATGGTTTGGATGTCTACACAGTTGCTGCTAAAGTTGCAAGCTACTAAAATAAAACTCTTTCTACCAAGGTCCAGGAGTTTTTGTCCTGTTCTTATGTTACCTACACAACTGTCCTAGTCCTCATATTAATTGGAGAAACTCACATCAAATAATGGGGTTTTTTAAGTTGTTCTGAGCTCCTATTTGTGTGTACTTCAGACATACACAGAAAAACACTTTGAAAGCAAACACAAACCAATCACTTCTCCCTCCTCAGGGTCTGCAAAATGAATCTACATTTGCATTAAAGTTGCAACTTTGGGCTGCAGCTTCACTACTAGTAGGAAACCAAGTCCAACTGAAGTGGAATAGCTCTCTAGTTATAATTCCCCTTGTTAGAACTGCACAAATTATACATAGAAATAACAAAACAGGCTCTAAATTATCTCATTCAGGTACAGAATTGTTAGTAGGCTTCTCCAGGTAAATTATTTATGATAGCAAGATTGTTGTATGTGGGCTGGACTGCTCTCAGAATGCTCATTAGCTTGTTTACAGGCAATTGGCTCAGGTATCTGCGTGCAGGACATAGCAAATTCTATTCTGAAGATGTCTCTGCACCCTCTGGCTCTCCATTTACTAAACGGATTTTGGGAATGCAATTCACAAATGCCCGTCTATATGTAGATGAAGGTCACAAGGTTATTATACAGTTGTGGATTCGGTTCCAGATTCAAACACCTAACAGTGGCATTTCTGTGCACAACTTTGGAGCATTCTGCTCTTTACCTGCATTTAGAGTTTATCAGTTTCTTCAAAATCATAGGAAGCCTTCATTATCTTAGATTTCTAAATGTTCAGCTCTCTCTAGACATGAGTGGATGATACTTCATCATATTAACCTGTCGCTACAAGTGAGATTTCTTCTGACCATGATTTGTGGTGTCAATATAGGACTGCATTATGTATTGATGTATTAAACAGTAAAGTAACATCAAGGTTTTTTTCTATCATATTTTCTTTCAAATCCGACTTTTCAAATCAGCTTTAGCATAGAAAGTTATATAGTTTGTTTCCAGGAGAAGCTACTATGTACGTGAAAGGGATATTTTTCT